AATTTTGACCACAAGAATGTTAAGCCATATACAGAGGAAGGTAATAGATTGACTATTATATATATATATATATATATATATATATATGGAGAAAGAGAAAGAAACAGAGAGAGAAAGGAAAGAAGGAGGGAGAGAGGGAGACAGACAGACAGAAAGAAAGAAAAGAGAGAGAGAAAAAAAGAGAGAAGTGCTAAGGTATCTCAAGATCTAATTGGTAGCTTTAGACCCATAGCATTCTGATTCTCCATGCTCTCTGTTGAAGTTCTGATAACAGGGGTATAGCTCATTGAAATTTTAAGGACGCATGCTTTGTCCTTAAAAGTTTCCTAGGAACTTTACAGTTTCCCATTGACAAGCATGACAAATATGGGTCCATGTGTCACATTGCTAAGATGATCTAGGACCTGAGTAGGCAGGACAACAGAGCTTCAGGAGAAAGAAATGGTTGCTAAAGTCCTCAAAGAAGACATTTCTAGATCCTACTAAGTTATGAACCATTGTAATCGGGAGTAATTTCTGTCTTGTTTCTGTATCTGATTTAACATTGATGTAACAGAGGTATTATATCTAATAAAATAATCAAAAATACAGTATATATCAAAGAAGAAAAGCCAATGGGTGAAGAAGACAGAGACTGCAGCTCAGATGAGTTCATTTAAGTCTTTACACACCCCGGCTATAGTAAATGGAAATAAAGTAGAAGAAACCTCATTGGTTGGAGCCAGTAAATATTCTTTTCTTTTTTCTTAATAGGAAAAAAGCTTGTTTGGGACTTTAAAAGTTTGGATTTAAAATATAGGCACTCCCCATGGAGTTTCTTCTGGAAGACTTAAATTAAGATTTAATCAATTTTAAATTAGATTCTTAAAAATCCAAATTATACTAAATAATAAGGAAATCATGTTGCCAAGATAGTGAAAACCCTTGAATCATTTTAAATTATCTTTCTCAAGGATGATGGGGGGAGGTCTGAGTAAACAAAGTGACACTAGAGGGACCCAGTAGCATCATCACTTGCTCTTCTAACAGAACTGAGATGAGCATCATTTTTATCATTAAGGAATAATACAGCAAATTTTGGGATATTTTTTTAAGTACGACAAGATTTAAGAAATGTAAGAGCATGGTCCTTTCCCTTGAGGCTGGAGAGGAGAGGGTCTTCTTCCAATTAATGAAATAATTTGGTTGTCTTTACTTTCCAGGCACTAACAGTGGTAAACTTTCATTTAATTAGTGCAGTTGTTCATTTAATTATGAATCTGCATGACCAAAGATCATGGACTTGTTGAAATTTTACATAATAGGCCAGATTTATAGAGATTTATGGTTTTGTCTAGCAAAGCACGTTTGTGATCATTATACAGTTTAAAAGGATTGACTCAATAACTCTTTGCAGCCATTTTTTTTCCTGCTGCAAAAACAGTATCTGTGCAGTAAGTTGTTGAAGGAGAAAGGGTGGTGTGTGAGAGGGCCTGCTTTTGGTCCAGGCTGCCCGACTAGCCTTACACCCGAAATAATCACACAGAAACTGTATTCATTTAAATACTGCCTGCCCCATTTGCTCTAACTTCTTCTTGGCTAATTCTCACATCTTGATTTAACCCATTGCTGTTAATCTGTGTAACACCATGAAGTTGTGGCTTACCAGGAAAGATTCTAACCAGCGTCAGTCTCAGACAGGAGCTTCATGGCATCTGCCACTCTGCCCTTCTTCCCAGCATTCTGTTCTTTCTTCCCAGCCTATCTAAGTTCTGCCCTATCAAAAGGCCAAGGCAATTTCTTTATTCAACCAATGAAAGCAATACATAGTCAGAAGGACCTCCTGCCCACACCAGTAAATGGTGGCTTTACACACCAGTGAAATGCATTCAGGATTTCAAGATCTAAGTATAAGAATACAGCAGAATCCTTGTTTTCCAAGGCTGGTTTTTGTAAACATTTCTATGATTGGATAAATACTTAAGAAAATTATATTGTTATAAACAGAATTGGTATTAATTTCATTTTAGTGCAATGAAATTTTAACCACAGGATTTATATGTTACATGCAATCTATGATATATATGGTATATAATGTATCTAACCATACCTTACAAATTTTCATATAAAATTTTTTTCATCCCAAATCACTTCCCTTTCTTTAACCTTCTCTCAGGAGATTACAATGCCTCACAAAAGCTGGTTATTAACTCAAGTACATCGTAAAAGGAAAGATGTGTTGATGATGGAATACAGCACATTAAGATGATCTGTAAGTTCTACGTATATATTTGAGCAAAAATCTCTTCCTCTTAAGATGCTTGTGGCCATCTGCACACCCATGAGCATGTTCCCCATGTACAATCAGGTATACAGCATTCTGTGACCTTAACAACATCAAGGCTTTACTAAAGTTTTCTCCACCTTTTCGGACATAGAGTGACACATAAAGACAGTTTGCATACAAGTCACACTTATGAACACAGATTACACACAACAGCAGCACATAAAATGGCAGCATATTAAATAACATGTTGCATGTAAGCATTGAGAGGGCGAAGGGCCGAGTGAAGGCTTCTAGCTGGGCAGACAGTGTTTAGGAAGAACTCTGCTGCAGAGGAGGACTGTGGCTGGAAGACAAGGTAGGCAGCTTTTAAACCCCCCCATGCATGCAGGCACATATGTGTGCACACATGTGTCTGTGCACACACACACACACACGCATGCATGCACATGCACATACACATGTGCACACGTGCATGCGTGCGCACACACACACACACACAGGTTTTACAGCTTGTGGCTGAGAACTGCAGGTCAGGGGAAGGGTTAGGAAGGATCAGACCTTCGTGTCCCAGACGTAGTTCCTAGGATGGAAAACAATAACAAGAGGTTTGACTGGGGAGATTTGGGGGTGCTGCAGAAGCATTTTTTGGACCCTCTTGATGGAATATTGAAAATCGGGTTAGTTGTCTGAGAATGAACAGTAGCAAGTCCCACCCAATTCCGAAGGTACTTTGCCTGGTGTGAGCCAACTCCCTGAAAACTTACTGGTAGTGGGAGTGCATGCTCAACCTTGTTCTAGAAACATGTTTGTTGTTGAGGACTGAGCTTCCTGATTGGCTAAAGCCAGGATCAATAAGTTGTCTTGCTTGGCAGGGCGGGGGTTGAGGTTTACGTTTTGTTTTTTGTTTTTGTTTTGTTTTTTTTAATGTAGCTCAGGGATGATTCGGTGTGGGCGCTAAAGAATAAGGGGCCCCATTCGTGTCTGGCTTGTGGTGAAACCTGGTTTTACCTTCGCCACAGTCAGCAGTGAAGGAGAGGGCAGGCTTGTCCTGGAGGGGTTGAGAATTTGTAGATCGTGACATGGTGGACTTTCCGCTGGGAGAGGCAGTGGCTGGTTATTGAATTAGCCGTGGACTTTAATGGCTGGTTATTGAATTGGCCCTGAGAGGAGTCTAGGTGGGGCACCACATGGAGCCAAAAGTCTGCATGGTGAATAGCTGTGCCAGGCCAGGGAGAAAGGAGCAGGAAGCCCACGAGTTTCAGAGCAGGGAAGAACTCAAGAAAGAGACTCTGGATGGCACCACTTAGAAGAAACTAGACTCTATGATCAAAGCAAAGGAGTCTGACTAGGTCGGGGGGGGGGGGGGGGGGGGGAGCAGGCGAGGGGCAGGGCAGCCTTTTATCTCCAGCTCAGAAAAGGGTAACTGGAGGTTTCTCGTACCTCCTGGTCCCTGGTTCTGCAGCTGCTTTTAAAATAACCACTCAGAGGCCAAATATTAATTACACACTGTTTGACTTATTTGCTCAGGCTCATTATTAACTAGCTCTTACAACTTAAATTAACCCATTTCTATTAGTTTATTTACCACGAGGCTCATGATGTGTTACCTCTCATCTTTCTTCTCCAGCAGCTGCTTGTGTCTCCCTGACTCCGCCTTCTTTCTCCCTGCATTCAGTTTGGCTTTCCTGGCTAGCTATATTCTGCCTTGACATAGACTAAAAATAACCAACGATACTAAAACATACTCACAGCATGCACTAGGCATCCCATAGCAGAAAAGTTTCCTTCTCTGGATAGCCAGAGAAGGAAACTTCGGGAAGTTTGTTTTTAGTAGGAAGATTTGGCAAGCAGCATACAGTGGGCAGAAAGGAAAATTCTTTTAATTCTTCTAAAAAAAAATGATTTTAAGGTAGAAAAATGTTCTGATACTGGAAGTCTTCAGCCATTTTCTATCACAATAGGAGGTTGCCTAGGTCTGAAAAAATTCTGAGGTCAAAGGTACACATTATGAGGTATGGGGGTGAGCAAGTTGATTGGTGGTGAGGGATAAGAGATAAAAACCTCCTCAAAACTCTAACTCCCCTCTGGAGGCGTGACAAATGCCACAAATGGCAATCTGAGTGGGAATAGGTGTCCTTAGATTGAGCTGGTCGAGGGCAGTGGGCTGTAACCCAAGCAGGGTGGGGGACTCTGACCCAGTACTCAGATTGTCAGAAAAACTGAACAACAGGCCTGTGTGTATGTTTCAGAGGCGGGGAAGAGGTCGCACACCTCCACGGCATCCTGTAGTAAGTGTTTGTCATCAAGTCATCTCTGACACCTTCAGGAGCAGGGGAAGAAGAGGAGTCTTGTGCTTCAAGAGAGAAACCCTGAAGGTGGGGCGTGGTCCACTTAGCTAATCTGCATCCACCATACAGGTTGAGTCACGAGGTAGAAGGCACAAAATCCAGAGTACAAAGTCCTTCCGTCACGCCTTTACAAAGGCAATTAATCCCTCTCACTGTAAAGCCCCCATGTCCCTCCTCCCAACACGGTGGTTTAGGAGATTAATTTTTGTCATGACTTTGGAAGGCGAAGGGCAGTGTCCTGGAAAGGGGGAGAGGCTGTTTAGATCATAGCCCTCGGGAAAGCTGAAGGTTTCCATGAGGACGTAACACTTGGCCGTCCCTCTCTAGCTTGACTTTTTTAAAAGAAAGCAATAGTGCTGAAGGAATGGACCCAATCTGCCACCCACCTTAAGGACCTTAGTGATCAGTCTAATCCTTTTGCTAAAAATAGGAGCAATCAACCAACCTCCAGAGACATCCGAGGGAAATCAGCATCATGAAAGAGAACCACTGTAGGAAAAAAAAAAAAAATAGCAGATTACCAAGAATGTGTGGATGGGTTATTTTTTATTTTTTAAATTAGCAAGCAAAGTAGCAGATATCATTATGGCATTTTGAAACAAAGTGTGTTTTAGGATAGGTTCCTTCCCTTCATCCCCCTCATCCCCCTGCTCCCTCTGATCTCTGCTTGTGATACGCCCACACACAATTTCAAATGGAATTTTTAAGAGGCAGGGCCACTGTCACACAGCACCACAACCACACAGGGTAGCCTGAAACCTTCCACGTTAACCCCAAACTCGCAGGTACGGCCTCCCAAGCTGCTAGAATTTCAGGCATGCTCCACCACAACCAGCCTCCAATGCATTTGCAGTAGTAACTTTTATTCTTGGAAATTTCATACATTTATGCAATGTGTATTGGCCATATCTATCTGCCTCCAGCTAGTGTCTGCCACCCAGTCTCCCTCTCAACTTCATTATCTTCTTTTAATCTATTTACTTTTCCTATTGATAACCCCCAAATTCACTTAATGTTGCCCTTCTGCACAAAGGAGTATAACCGTCCACAGGGGCGTGAGCAATCTGTTAGCAACCATGTCCTCCCTCCTCAGTCATTGGCTGCCAGTAGCCCCTTCAAAGGTGGTGGGGGTTTGGGAGCCCCTCCTCTCCCCTTGCTGGAATTTTGAACGGTTTGATCTTGTTCAGGTCTTATGCGGGCAACAACAGCAACTAAGAATTGATGTGTGCAATAGCCACATCATGGCTAGAAGTTGACTTTACATAGCTCTTCGCCCCATCCACCGGTGTAATTATTTCCACCCCTTCTGCCAGGTATCCAGGGCCTTGGGTGGAGGGAAGGTGGATACAGATGGCATCCGCATCTGATCATGTGGAGCTATTTCTACTCAGCACTTGAAGCAGTCATGAGTCTCTGTGCTAGCCACTATCACCGTAGAGGGGTCTTCTCTTACTGAAGTTGAGACTAGTCAATATGTACAACTATAAAGATAAATATTTCGAATGAAGCTTGGCAGTGTGACCACTTAGTAGAAAAAAAGGTTCCCCTTAGGATCTGTGATCTCCTAGCCATGAACTTTTGGGCAGGTTACAGTACCAGACATAAGATCCTTCCTGTGTGCAGGCCTCATATCCAGTCAGATATGTTAACCTCAATAACTGCTATGCCAATATTGTGCCAGGGGGCACAACTTGCCAGCATGTCATATTGTAGACACAGAATTCAGAGGAGATCATTGGTGTCTTTTCTCCCTCTGCAGCCTTTCACGATAGCCACAAATAGCATAAAGTATCTTGGGGTAACTCTAACCAAGGACGTGAAAGAATTATTTGACAAGAACTTTAAGTCTTTGAAGAAAGAAATTGAAGAGGATACCAGAAAATGGAAGGATCTCCCATGCTCTTGGATTGGGAGGATCAACATAGTAAAAATGGCAATTCTACCCAAAGCAATCTATAGATTCAATGCAATCCCCATCAAAATCCCATCACAATTCTTCACAGACCTTGAGAGAACAATAATCGACTTTATTTGGAAAAACAAAAAAACCCAGGATAGCCAAAACCATCCTATACAATAAAAGTACTTCCAGAGGCATTACCATTCCTGACTTCAAACTCTATTACAGAGCTACAGTAATGAAAACAGCTTGGTATTGGCACAAAAACAGAGATGTTGACCAATAGAATTGAATCGAAGACCCAGATATTAATCCACAAACCTATGAACACCTGATTTTCGACAAAGGAGCTAAAAGTATACAATGAAAGAAAGAAAGCATCTTTAACAAATGGTGCTGGCATAACTGGATGTCAACCTGTAGAAGAATGAAAGTAGATCCATATCTATCACCATGCACAAAGCTCAAGTCCAAATGGATTAAAGACCTTAATGTTAATTTGACCACACTGAACCTGATAGAAGAGAAAGTGGGAAGTAGTCTACAACACATGGGCACAGGAGACCACTTCCTACGTAGGACCCGTGTAGCACTGACAATAAGAGCAACAATAAATAAATGGGACCTCCTAAAACTGAGAAGTTTCTGTAAAGCAAAGACACTGTCATTAAGACAAAAAGCCAACCTACTGACTGGGAGAAGATCTTCACCAACCCCACAACAGACAAAGGTCTGATCTCCAAAATATATAAAGAACTCAAGAAATTAGACTTTAAAATGCTAATTAACCCAATTAAAAAATGGGGCACTGAACTGAACAGAGAATTCTCAACAAAAGAAGTTCAAATGGCCAAAAAACACTTAAGGTCATGCTAAACCTCCTTAGCAATCAGGGAAATGCAAATCAAAACAACTTTGAGATACCATATTACACCTGTCAGAATGGCTAAAATCAAAAACACCAATGATAGCCTTTGCTGGAGAGGATGTGGAGTAAAGGGAACACTCATCCATTGCTGATGGGAATGCAAACTTGTGCAACCACTTTGGAAATTAGTGTGGCGGTTTCTCAGGAAATTCGGGATCAACCTACCCCAGGATCCAGCAATACCACTCTTGGGAATATACCCAAGAGGTGCCCTATCATACTACAAAAGCATTTGTTTAACTGTGTTCATAGCAGCATTATTTGTAATAGCCAGAACCTGGAAACAACCTAGATGCCCCTCAATATAAGACTGGATAAAGAAAGTGTGGAATATATACGCATTAGGGTACTACTCAGTAGTAAAATACAATGACATCTTGAATATTGCATGCAAATGGATGGAAATAGAAAACACTATCCTGAGTGAGGTAACCCAGACCCAAAAAGATGAATATGGTATGTACTCACTCATAAGTGGATTCTAGCCATAATTAAAAGATATTGAGCCTATAATTCGTGATCCTAGAGAAGTTAAATAAGTAGGTGAACCCAAAGAAAATCATGTAGTTATCCTCCTGGATATTGGAAGTAGACAAGATTTCCAAGCAAAAATTGGAAGATTGGGGGTGGGGTGGGGTGGGAGTAAAGGGAGATGGGGAGAGAGAAGTGAGAAGGGGAGGATGGAGAGAGCTTGGGAAAACGGGATGGTTGGGATGGAGGAAGGATGGATATGGGAGCAGGGAAGTTAATTAAGGGAGCCATTTTAGGATTGGCAAGAGACTTGACTCTAGAGGGGTTCCCAGGTGTCCAAGGAGATGTCTCCAGTTTGTTCCTTAGGCAGTTGAGGAGAGGGTGCCTGAACTGGTTCGTGATTTGTGGGCTGATCTTCTTTTCTTTGCTTTATGTTTAAAAGCCACTTATGAGTGAGTATATGTGATAATTGGCAGGTCTTGCCTCATTCTTTAAGCACCATTTTTATCCTTCACATAATGTTATTTTGTGTGGGAAAGTGTCATTCTGAGGTTAAACTGGGTTCGACCTTAATTGTCTGTGAGATTAGTCTTTTATCCATTTTGGAGCACATACATACATACATATAAGAAAATATATACATTTATTCTATATAACTATAACATATAATGTACCTATATGCAATACAGTATAAAATATATACACACATGTAATTGAGAAGACAAACACACCAATGTATGTATTTATATACAAAATGAAACTCACAAAATGTTATAGATATAAATTTTTAATTAATGTAACTAAAATACTGGCTTTATGGAAAATATGAAATCTTGCTACTCAAAATATAATACTAGGTAGGTACAGAGATTTTAAGGAAAAATAAAATAAACTTTTATTTTCAAAAGGCAAAAAAAGAAATATTTAAATAGAATTTAAAAATAAAATCAACATAAAGCAAAATCAAATAAAGACAAGAAAATGAAAATAAAGAAATAGAGAGAAGGTAGAAGAAACCAAAAGATGGGAGAAAAGGAGCCAGGCCCAGCTGCACAGGCCTATAATCCTGGACAAACAGGAAGCTGAGGCAGAAGAATCCTAAGCTCACAATTAGAATGAACAACTTAGAGAGGGACCTTGTCTCAAAAATAACTGTTTTAATTGAAACAAAAGGCCAGGGATGTAGCTCATTGGTGTGACGTCCTGGGTTTGCCCCTCAGTACTCCAGGGAGAAAAAAAGAAAAGCATGATTTGGGATATTAGACTTTAACCCAAGAATTCTAATACTAATCCAACACAGGGAGAGAGGTGGGGGTGTCGATGAAATCAATCATGGAAGAAATCTCCCTGATAACTGTCAATCACAAGAGTCAATGCTGCAGTGACTGATCACAGTGGCCATGCCTAAACATGCTCTCCCGAAATCTAAAAAATATCAAAGATAAAGAGGAGATGTAAGACTTCCACAAGAAGAAAAAGAATCTACAAATGTATTAAACTTTTCGTCAATCATACTGGATTTTCAAAGAAAGCAGAGCACAGAGCAAAACTGGCAAAATTCTGATCAATTATTTTGTGCCTAAATTCAATACCTATCCAAACTATCAGTCAAGTGTAAGGACTTTATAATAACTTTGAATTTAAGGACTCAGAAATGATAGGCTCCAATTGTCCTTCCTAGGAAACTTGTCTGTTACTATGCGCCAGAAAAAAAAAATTGAGTAAAAGAGGGAAAAAACACATAGATCAAGCCAGAACTGCAGTGATCACAAACAATACCTCGAGATGATACCCATGCAGTAATGCCAAAACTAGAAGTGCAGGATGGAATGAGAACTTTAAAATGTCTTCAATTAAGCCAACATTCTTACTTCAATGACAGTGTAATGAAAAAACCTGAGAAGTTTCTGAAATTCATAAGCACCGCCCAACATGATTAGAACAATCTCTAGGTTGCCTGAGCAAAATCATAAAAGATAGGAACCTGGGTAATCATTTGCATCTTCTGAAATTTGATTTTTTTTATTTGAAAAGCAAATGGAAGTAATATGTGGTGATGCACACCTTTATCTATAGATCTTGAGAAACTGAGACAGGAGCATCACGGGTTCTGGGGTATGTCCTGAGACTTTGTCCCCAAAAGAAAACTGAATGTAGAATAATTCCTGGGCTGGCAAAATGGTTGAGCAGGTAGAAGTGTTCCTGTGGAGACTGGAGACCTAACTCCCATCTTCAGAACCAGAGCTACATAGTGAAAGCAGAACACAGATTTCCACAAGTTGCCTCTGTCTTCCACATGTGTTTTGTGGCACTCATGTACCCATAGGTGTGCAAACACACATGCACATATACTCCCCCACACATTCACTCACATACAATAAGAAGAAGAAATTAAATAATAATGCCTTCTTCGTGTTGTATTGAATAGTAGATGAAATCATGCATACAAAATACCTAGAACATTGCACTCAGCATTTTCCCCTAAAAGGCTTATTTTTATTATCCTTTCAGTACCAAGAATAAGAAAGAAAGTCAATTAGGGATTTGGAGAAAGATAAAATGAAGCTGTCAAGAAATGTCATATGTCAAATCAAATAAAAAATACAGTGTGATTTTGAGTGACTGAAGGAATGTGAAGCTGAAATCAGAATCCATTTGATCTGAAGATGGGGGTTTTGCCTCGAAGTGTCATAGGTTTAGAGTTAAGATTATTTTCATTCTCCGTTAAGTCTAATCAAACTACTTGGTTCTCTACTGAATAATATTTACATAATCACAGTTTCCAACTGCCATTTAATGGTATTCAGTTTAAGAAACTAACCTCTCCTCAAAGCACAGAAGACTTAATTATAGCCGCGGATCAGAGTATAAATGCAATAAACTTTGATCGTGGAAAATGAATGATGGAAAGTTGAGAGGAGCCATAGAAAAGTGGGGAGGAAGTGTGTGGTCCTCACGTTCTCTCCAGACACGATGTCTACCCGAGAAGCTGTAGTCCCGTCTGCTCCGATAGCTTTAATGGCAATCCAAAGAAGATGTTTTAAACGATGTAACTTGAGAAATGGTGCAGGAGAAGATGTTCATTAATGTGCTGGAGTCTGGGACTTCCAAAGCCGCCTTGCCTCTTGGGACTGGAGCAGTGCAGATGTCCTGCGTGCAGTCAAGAGGATAATGTCACCATGATTCTATGCCTGGATGCTATCGGAAATTTTTCTTATATGTTTGAATTTCTTATATTACTTACATTTTAATGAATCAAAAATCTCTCATTCTCCTAGCCAATGCATATTTATATTCTGCTCCAGAATCCAGGTTCTGGGGATTAATAAATATAATCCTTGCAGTCAAGTAAAATCTAAATTCTTATCAGCGAGGCTGACAGTAACATGGAAATTATTTGATCAATAAGCTGATTTCAAGTAATTAGTTCTACAGAGATGTGTCATAGAGGGGAATGTACAATCTATCTAGGGAAATCAAGAGAGGGTTCTGGGGGAGGGGAGAAGACCCTGAAGCAGAGACCTGAACAAGGAGAAGGTGACCGACCATTCCAAGGTGTAGGAAAGTGTTGCCTGAAACCAGAAGTGTGGCCCGCTCACAAGCTGGAAGGCAGGCTAGTTGGTCAATAGAATGGGTAAGGGGAAGATTATGAGTCACTTCAGAATGTGGGTGGAGGCCAGACTTGATGGGCTCTTCTGGGTCACAATTAGTAATTTGATTTTTGTCTAATTAAAATGCAAAGTTATTAAAGAATTTTAAGTAAAGGCGTGATACCTGAATTGACTCTTACTTAATAAATTTGTCATTTGAATCAGGCAATATGATTACATAGGCAATGATTTTAATCACTTTCCAACCAGGAACAGAATAAGCTGTCATCCGGGAGAGGGAACGGGATGGGAGGCTAGGTGATGTGACAGTTTCTAAGCAAGGTAATAGTGGAGATGGTGAAACATCCAAATCTGAATGTATTTAAAGGAGAATGAAAATACTATGAATAGATGTATGCATGGAGGGTGGATGGATGGATGGATGCACGGATGCATGGATACATGGATGCATAGGTGGGTGGATACATAGATGGATAGATTCATAGGTGGGTGGATGCATAGGTGGATGGATGGATGGATGGATGGATGGATGGATGGATGGATGGATGGATGGATGGTTACATAGGTGGATGGATGCATAGGTGGATGGGTAGATGGGTGGATGGATGGATGGATGGATGGATGGATGGATGGATGGATGGATGGGTGGGTGGATGGATGGATGGATAAATGGATAGGTGGATTGATGGGTGGTTGGATGCTATGGGGAAAAGCAAAGGCTCTACTGTAGCTGCCAGAATTTTGTCAGGAGAAAATGCCAAAACTGTAGTCAGATGTTTTTTAGACTCCAGCTCCCAAATAACGATAGGGAAACTTCTTATTAAGTACAAAAGCTTGTCCTTACCTTAGGCTTATTCCCAAATAGCTCTTATAACTTAAATTAACCTGCTTATATTAATCTACATTCTGCCACATGACTCATTAGCTTTTATCAATACCCTGCAACCCACTTCCTCCATGTCTAGCTGATACATTCTCCATCCCTCAGATTCTTCCCCAGAGTTTTTCTCTCTCCCCAGACATCCCACCTATCCTGCCTAGCTATTGGCCATTCAGCTCTTCCTTAAACCAATCCAAAGGTAGAGACACAAAAATATTATTCTACAACACAAAACTATGTGAATGGTGGTGCCCTTTGCCTAAGTGAGAATTCGAGGAGTAGCCATTTAGTAGGAGCAGAGACTTCATTCTGCCCCTACATTTTACCCTGTTAAATCTGCAGCATCCTTTTGACATTCAGGCAGCAGCAATATATGTAAGGCTGGTGCCAGAGAGGAGCTCTACACAGAGGTGCAGTTTAGAAGTCCCAGAGGTGGACTGCATTTTACAGTCATGGCATTCCATATGATCTCCATGAAGAGAACACAACCAGAAGTCAGAAGAAGACACCCCCAGAGTAGCCAGTGAGATTTCCCCACTTGGTAATCCAGAAGGAAAGCCACAAAGGCTATGAAGGAGAGACTGATGAGGTAGGATGCCAATCAACCAATGTGTGATGTCACTGGGAAGAAAGAGGGGCAAGTTTCAGCCAAGCAGAGTGGTCAGCTTTGCCAGTTGCTGACGAAAGCACATATAAGGGAGAGATGGAATTGCCTAAGATAAGTGCAGTTCCCCTGGAAGAGCAGAGACAAGCCCTACCAGCATGGCTGGAGGGGGAACAGGAGATGAAGAATCTGAATTTGGAAGTTCAGATTGGTTTGTAGAGACATTCTGTCAAGAAACAAGAAAACCTTGGTAACTGAGCAAGATATGAAGTCAAAACAGGGTTTTGTTTTTACTTGCTTTGTTTAAAGTGGCAATATCAAAGTCTGCTTGTTTGCTAATTAGAATGATTAATTAAACAGACAACTTGATATTGGGGAGAAGTATGCAGTAATGAAGATTTTGACGAGACTGTAAATTATGGGAATGCCATCCAAGCCCAGTTCTCGCAATTGCATAGTATGGCTCAAGGGTCTGTTACCCACACCGACAGATGGAAGGCAAAGTGCTCTAGGTTCATGCAGTTGACAGGGGGTGGAAAGGAAGCACTTCTCACGTGACTGTATCATTTTCTTCATAAAGCCAACCTTGCTGTAGAGTTAGCCAGATGAACTGGTTAGCTTGTTAACCACTGCTGCCCAGGGTACTGTTCAGGAGTTAAGGAGGGGCATGAAGTGTGCCTACGACAGGGCAAAGCAAATATCCAGGAAGCTGTTACACTGTTCAGCTGTCTTGAGTAGACTGGTGGAGATTCTGGATGATCACATACAGGTGAGAGGACTTGGAACAGCGTATGGGTTTTCTCTAGAAAGATTAATCTATTCAGCTGCAGACATGGAATCAACTGATAACTGACCTTCAGGACAGGAAAGGTGCCCGGCGGGAAAGGAGGAGGAAGAGGACCGGGAACCAGTGGTACACTGAGAAGAATGAAAGGGTTGTGTCCCAATACCATTGCGTTTCCAAAGGCGCTACAAGAGGAAGCCCACCACAACCACCATCATTCTGCACCTCTTTTCCAGAGTGTTCTGACTCTGAGGGGTAAATTCCCCCTCCCTTTAGATCTAAGTTCACCGTACATGTCATTTTAACTCACAGAATTTAACAGAAGTTGTACAGATGTGCTTCTGGAGTGAGACATTAAAGGATCTGTAGCTGCCGCCTTTGCTAAATAGAATGCTTACTTTTGAGATCCAGCAGCAAGCATGGAAGCCTAAGGGAAACATGTGGAGGCCACCCTGATAAGCGTGGGGAGAAGGGAGGGAGGGAGGGAGGGACAGACAGAGGGATGGGGTAGAAGGGAGAGATCTCATAGTCACCATCAAGGCTTCCGCAAACCAAGACATTTGGTTTGAATGAATCTAAGTTCATTCACTGTCTGACTACAGCGCCATGAGAGACTGCAGAAGATGTGGGGATAAAGAACCATCCAGCAATCCCTTCCCAATTCTGACTCACAGACCTGTGGGCGAATTGGTGCTTTATTCTACAATGTCACATATCTAGTTATAAAGTACTCCTCAACCTTGTCGTCAGCCACTGGAGGGAGATGAGGAGAGCAGGTATGCTGAGCTGTGGGGAACGGTGGCAGGGCCAATACAGATGAATGATTTGAAGTTCTCAAGAGCCCAAGGATCTTCTGAAGCAGAAGGCTTTCAATAAGGAGTTGCTAAGACTAGAGATGGTACAAAATATTGACAAATAATTGATAGCAATATTTTAAGCGAATTCTGTCACAACTGATGCAAAGATGGTGAATACAGTCTCAGGACTGGGTGGCTGTGGTGTGTCAGAGGAACCAGCAAAGTCAAGGGACGACTACACAGATGCTGCTGCCAGAAATACTGTAAAGAGACAACTTACCAGGTAAGGGTATGTTCTTGGGACCAGATTATCTTTCGGACCCTGCTGGAACCCCTGGGTATGTTATCAGGCAAAGCACCATTATCTCTTTACACCCCACTCTACCCAGCTATAAAATGAGGATGGTGTTATCATCTACCGTAGAGTACAATTGGGATTAGATAAAATAATGTTTTAAAGTGCTTAGAAGGGTCCAGGAAAAGAGAGGTTTCCCACTAAATGTCACTGGCACCAGAGATAAAGGCAGGCAGCAGAGCAGGTGCTGGGGGAGCCAAGGATGAAGGTCAGTGAAGGACAGCGACAAGGTGGGGCAGCAGGCGGCAGCATCTGACGATGCGCTTCAAAGGGCTGTGGTCTTTGAAGTTGAAAGCAAGTGCAATGATTAATTAAAGGCTGGAAGGAGGAGTAAGGAAGACACTCCCCTCTAAGGCACAAAATCAAAAGTGTCTATGTGAGGAGGCCGCAGAGAGAACAGGGTCCTTGGGGACAGCCGGGTTCCATCGCAGGAGAGAAACAGTGAAACGGCTCGGGGGAGATAAAGGTTTATGACTGCTGATGGCAAACTATGAACTCCAAAGGCTTTGGGCAGATGAAGAGGAACAGAAGGGTCCGTTTCAAAATGGATAGGGCCATGTGATGATAAAGACCTGGCAGTGACAGGTTCTCTGATGAAGATGAAGGGGAGAAGCTGAAATATTCATGACCTGCTTGGGGTTGTTCCAGGAAGTCTCCCCGGGAGAAGTGTGGAGAAATCCGTGACCAACTGTGTAGTCTTAGGGTTTGTGGCAGTGTCTACGAGAGCGCACAGGGACCACATCAAAACTCCTTCCCTATCTAAGTCTTTAAAGGTACCTGGGAGGGAGACAGGAAGAGAGGGAGAGGGGGGAGGGAGGCAGACGCCCTACATACGGGGGGGGGAGGGAGGGAGGGAGGGAGAGAGAGAGGGAGGAGAGGAGGGGGCAGGGAGGGAGATGAAGAGGGAGAAAGAGAGAATGTACTGTTGAGGCCAGGGTATGAGGTCATGTTTCTTCCTCTATCACTATCCACCTTATTGGATTGAGCCCAGGTCTCTCACTGAACTCAACATTTGGCCAGGTTGAGTGGCCAGAGAGCCCTTGGGATTCATCCGTCTTTGTCTCCATAATGCTGAGGTTACAGACACACACAGTCACACCCGGCTTTTTACATGGGTTCTAGGGATTTGAACTCAGGTCATGCTTGCAGAGCAAGTGATCTTACCCACTGAACCATCTCCCCAGCTCCATGGGAATTCTTAGCACAACAAAGAAGAGGCAAACAGTACTCTCCTGTGTCACCATTAACCTTAAAGAACACACTGGATCCCTGGCTACAGAGAGCAGTGGGGCGTGGCAAGGGCAGAGAGGCCACACCAGATGGTGAGAGGATCAAATGAGATCCAGAAATAGTGAAAGTAAGGTTTACAATAGACCCAACTTAGAACAACCAACCAATCAGGAAGCAAAGAAGGGAAAAATCCCCTGCCCTGCTCTGAGGTTGCAAAGAAAGAAGTGGAAAGCCTCCAGAAACTCTACAAAAACAAAACTTGAGACAAGAGATCTGTGTGCTGTGATGGGTGCTGCTGGAGAAAGAACCCTGGTGCCCAGAGAAAAGCCCTGGCCCCGACTTGCAAGCTGGTATGCGAGATGAAGCTAATCCTCAGAAAAACACTGGAGCCAAACTATTCTGCTGAAGAAAGTTAAAAATAAATAAAATAACCCCCAAAAAGTACCGTTAACTCTGTACACACACACACACACACACACACACACACACACACACACACTGACTAAGCCAGAGACTGCCCCAGAAACATGGGAACATGGGACTGGAGTTAAGCTGAACAAGCATGCGCTCAGGCAAACGCTGCAGGCTGCTGATGGCAAAGCACAGAACAGTGGTAAGGAGGCAGCCGCTACACAGGTAGACATGCAAGGCCCCTCCGGAGCCACAGACATTGAAAATGTGGCGAGGAAGTGCTACCCACCACCAAAGAAGCAAGCATCAAGTCATGGAGCACCCATGCTGAAGGCGGGAGAGGCTTGTTCTTGGTGGGAGAGGCAGGCAGAGGACCAGTTCAACACAGAAATTCAACTCAGAAGCAAAACAAAGCACAGATTTCACCTAGTCATTCTAGCCAGTCTTTTTTGAACACTGGGGAGATAGATTGGCAGCTGCTTGCCCACTGGCAGAGTTCAGAGTGCAAAGATACCCCAGGAATAGAAACCCACAGTCAGCACATAAAACTAGAGATACTGACGATTATACTATATTCTAGTTTTGTTTTGATTTATTGTATTTATTTTAATTTTTACTTTCATATTTTCATTTTAATTTTTTGTTTTCATTTTTATTTTGCTTGAGTAAGCTCTATGATTGCTCTGCTTTTTTCTGCACTAAATCTATTATGCTCTCTCTATTATTTCTCACACCTTCAATCTTCTGTTATGGTTTTATTGTGAAAACATCCTCACAGTCTCATCAATCTCTCCAGGCTGTGAACTCGGAAAGCTGTAATAGCCTGACAAGATATGCCCACTGGTGAAATAGTGTCGTGTATTATGGGAGTAACCAACCACTTTCTGATTGAATCTAAGGCCTGTTCCATGAGATGAAACCTATTCCTAACACTGTTAAAAGGGTCATGAACCTATGTAGAGACAGGTCATGGGTCCTAAGTGTGAACCTAATACTATTATTTTGGAAAATGAACATCATATTAAAATGACTCCTACTGACTTATTGCTCTACCCATAGGTCAGAGCATTTCTCAACCCTACTCAGAGAAGCTTCTTGTAAATGGCAACTAACACAGAGACCCTCAACTGGTCAACAGGCAAAGAATAAGAAATTTCAGCATTCTCAGTTCTAAATGGAATATCTGTGTTACACCATTGTCCCTGAGGCTCAGGGATCTTCATAGAAGAGGGGTTGGAAGGATCGTAAGGGCCAGAAGTAACATCAAGGACACAGTGTTTTCTAGATGCAACAGAGACGTTGCACATGTGAGTTCACAATGATTATGACAGCTTGTTTAAGACATGTACGAGTTCAAACAGACAAAAATCCTAGCCTAGACGTAGAAGGCAGGAATGCGATTCCACCACTCATTGAGGAGCTATTGGCATTTTATAGCTTCTGGGAGAGGGAGAGTCAGTTTTCTTTAATGCTGCGACCCATGGTAGGTCAACTACAGCCAGGGAAGTCCCTACTTTCAAGATTAGTTGAACAACACAGACTTTTTGGAAAGGATGAAGAAAACTCAGATTTCATGGGAAGGGAGGTCATAGTGGAGAGAGAGATAATGGGAGAAGTTGGAGGAGAAGCGAATATGTTCAAAACACATTGTATAAAATTCTCAAAGAATTAATAGAAATATCTTTTAAAATATGCAATGTCTTCCAAGAAGGTTCAAACAAGTCAATGAATGATGTGAAGACAGCAACTCAGAGCCTGAATAAAGAGGTCAATTATGTGGATGAGAAAGTCTGCAACATGGATTAAAAATTCAGTAACATAAAAAAATCATTAAAAAATGATAGTCTGAAAAGAAACCAAATAGAAATATTGGAAATGAAAAAGTCAAATAAATTCATCAGATAAAAACTATGAAAAACTAGAGGACATTATCAAAAGACAAAACCTGATCATCTACAGGCTGGATGAGCTACTCTGTAGAAGGGAAGAAGGATCTGAGATTAAAAAAAAAAAAAACACCTAATTTGTAGAAAAATCTATTCAATGAAATTGAAAAGTTTCCCACACCTAGGGAACAATATGGACAAATAAGTACAAAATACATCTAGAACCTCCCCAAGATAAAAAGCTCTCCAAGCCAATTTACTGTTTAAATTGCAGAACAAAAAGACTAAACTCTGGAAGGGAGAAAACCTAACTCTTTTACAAAGACAAATCCACTCCCTAATATCTGGGAAAGCATGAAATCATAGAGGTCAGTTTCTTGAAGTAAATAACTGCTGAACAAGATGATTCTGCCCAGAGGAAAATCTCTTTTAATTGATGAGTACATAAGGATCTTCCGAGACAAGCACAGAATAAAGCTATTTAAGATTACTTGGCCAGCATTACAAACGATTCTTAAGAGAATGATACACACAGACAAGGAAGAAAGTCACTACATGGTTGCATTAAAAATAATAATAATAATTAATCCCACAAAGGGACCAGATAAAGAACCAGGAAAGAATCAGACGTGTGTAGCTCAGAAAACCAGAGCTCCATGAAGAATAAGGAAGTAAAGAAGAAACACTCTTTGAACCAACTAGGAAAACAACCAGAAAAACCAATAAATACTTCTGTGCAATAACCTAAATGTTAATGATCTCAGTTTCCCAATTAAAGGTTACAAACTTGTACAGGAGAAATAGATCAACAATTAAGAGAGTGTTCTGCACTTACCGAGGACCCAAATTCAACATACTTGATATTCTTGAATGAAGAAGTCATTATGAAACTCATAGCTTTGTACAGAGAGCATATACTAATACAATTATTAAAGAGAAAGTCAACAAATAAACTGTACCTCAAGAGTGGGGTGTGGATGATCAGGGGCAGTCTGCCCTTTTGTTTGCAAGACAGAGTGGGAGCATCAAGATGATCCATTCATGATAGCTCAAAAGACAATTTTTCTCTGCCAGGGACACAAAGGTCGAGTCACCTGACCCTGAATGATTTAACGGGCATCAGGCACTCAACATCTCCCATGGGAAAAGAATGGAGCATTGTTCATCTTCACAGTACCCTGACAAAAATCAGGAAATAGGGCTTCTTCTGGCAAGGAAACATCCCAGGCATGTGGCATGAGGAGCTCGCAATGCTTTATGGGAGAAAGGGGTTCTTCCTCTCTTTGTGCTCATAATAGGCACCAGCTGTCTGCAGGGGGATAATGCCTCGGTGAGGAGCCCCTTACCCCCCACGCCTCAACGTAGCTCACAGTGGTGCTGCCTGGATGTAGACCACACATCAGCTTCCCTACGTTTTTTTTCATGATTTTGTTAAATTATTTTGTTTTATACATCCTGACCACAGTTTCCCCTCCCTCCTCTACTCCTAGTCCCTCCCCCCCCCCGTGGCCCTCTGCCCCCCCCCCCCTCCACTCCTCCTCTGTTTCTCTCCAGAAAAGGCCAGGCCAGGCCTCCAAATGGAGATCAACCAAACTTGGCAAATCAAGTTGCAGTAAGACTAGGTGCCTCTCATATTAAGGCTGGAGAAGGCAACCCGGTATGAGGAACAAGTTCCCAGAGTCAACAAAAGAATCAGAGACAGCCTCTGCTCCCACTGTTAGAGTCCCAGAAAAGAGCAGGCTACACACCTGTCACATCTCCAGAGAGCCTAGATCAATCGCATGCAGGCTCCCTGACTGTTCGGTCTCTGTAGGCCCCGTGAGCCCAGGTTAGTTGATCCTGTGGGTTTTCTTGTGATGTACTTGACCTCTCTGGCTCCTATATCTTCCCTCCCCTTCTCCTGCAGGATTCTCTGAGGTCTGCCTAATGTCTGACTGTGGGTCTCTGCATCTGCTTCTTGCAGGTGTCACATGAAGCCTCTCTGATGACAGTTCTCATCTTGCTTTTAACTGTGTCACCTTGGATTAATCATCTCCCCCATCTGAGCTCGTTTGTCTTTGGAGTTCTCCGAAGAGCAAATGTGCAGGTTGGACTGGTCCGATCCGTGCATGTCTCTGATGCTATTACGTGTCTGGCATGTGTGCTAGCCACCAAGTACAAGGGCACCCTGGGAACACACACAGTCTTTGGGAGACAGACGTAAGCAGAGGTCCACACTACAGTGCAGTGTTGGAACTAAGGCAGCGTGAAGAGAAAACTGGTGAAGCTTAGAGGGACCCTTACTGCTCTTCTGTCTCACATGTGACAAATTCTGTCCAACGGGAGGCCAATAAAAGTATGTGACTCGTGAGCAAAGGCAGAGAAGAGCCCACCCAAACCCTCCAAGCTCCGCATACCTTGGTGCGACGTTCCTGGGATGCCTTATGCTGAGGCGGTAAAACTAGAAGTGTTAGACAGCACAAAGGCCTGGGTCAGCACACGCTAGGTAGATCACAGGTTCGGATACCCCATGATGAGCTTTGAATGAGCAATAAATAAACTCCAACCGTTAAGACTGGGGAGAATATTTGTTACTGTGACCAAACTTATTCTATCTAGACTGATACAAACAAGACAAATAACCAATGGTTGAAACTGAAATTGCTGAGGTGAGTGGGTATGATTAGCTTCTGGGTTTTGGACTAGCTGAGGTCAATGCTGAGTTGATCGTCATAACAGAGAAAGATTGATCCCGTAACCCTTAATCTCTGCTGCTGAATTTCTTCCGAATAAGTGTGGCAGAACACATTTCAAAGTTTTCCTGGAGGAACCCACCCACCTACACTCATGTTCACACAAACTAGTTCAGAAGCGAGGTACCACCTGGGGAATTACAGTCCCACGCCTTCTTGGCCACAGTGATTAAGTTAGCTATGGGAATGTAAAACGAGCCATCCCAGAGGAAGCTCTGAGTCTGTGATGTGTTTCTAAGAGCGTCACTGGGGAGCATGGCTCTTTCTTGGTTATGTGTTGAGATGTAAGGTTGTAGCCCCTGGAAAGAATCTGCCTAAAACAAAAACCGCAAAGACAAAACAAGAGAACCCAGGTATTACTGTTTATCCTGTCTGGTCTAAGGCAGGTCATAACTCTGGCTCATGCCTTGGATCTCAGCTCCAATCAGATTCTCTCCCACCCCTTCTCTAACTCCTAGAATTCTCCTGGTGTCTTCTTAAAACTCGTTGTACATCCACAGATGTCTCCACATCTTTCCTGAACATTCCTGTCACCTTGATCCAAATGAAACTACCTCCTGAAAAGCACTACTTCCCCTTCAGGCCTTACATAAGCAACAGATTTCCTCCCCTGCTTCCGTGGGGTTCTCCTAGCTCCACTTATTGTTTGGGCGTGGGTCTCTGTATCTGTTCCCATCAGATGCCAGAGAAAGCCTCTTGATGACAATCAGGCGAGGCACTGATCTGGAGTTCTGGTGTGGCCTCTGTGCTTGCTTGCTTGCTTGCTTGCTTGCTTGCTTGCTTGCTTGCTTGCTTCCTTTTTTGATAAAGGAATTCAGTATGTAGCCCAGGCTAGGCTAAAGCTCCTTATATAGTCCAGGTCAGCCTTGAAATGACCTAAGCATCCTAAGTTCTGGGATTCTAGGCATGTACCACGCCCCCATACTCCACAGCAGTTCTTGTTTATTAAATTTACTCATTGGTTATTTTTTCATGTAAACCTCATGGTGGGGTCTAAGTTCCCCAAAAGATTTCTCCCAGACGATCACACTCTTTTCCTTGATGTGCCTTTGCACTTGACTTTTGGGGCTCTTCCCCCACCCCCATTTCATTCCCCTCTTGATGACTCCTCTCTGCCTCTGGTTCACATCCAGCTCTTGCCCCTACAACCAATCTCTCTCCTCTTTTCGCTCTCTCCTCACTCTCCAAGGGTCTCATCTGAGTTCGTGGCTTAAAATGCAATGATGATCTCAGCTCATTATGCCAAGGTGGAACTTCAGATCTATTCCCTTAGCTTCCTGCCCAGTCTGGCTGTTTGTGTATCCAGTAGGCACCTCCAACTTAACTTACCAAATTCCTAGTCTGTCATCTTTACACTCCCTTTCCCACCAGCCTGAAAAAACTTTCCACACTCAGTGTCCCCCTGGTCTCGTCCACCGTCCACACTCAGTGTCCCCTGGTCTCATCCTTCATCACTTCTCTCTTGGGTTGTTACAACCACTTTACAATAGGCCTTTTACCTTCTCCCTTGCCCCTCACAGTCTATGTTCATCAGTTCTTCAATGTGTAAGGTAAATCAACAACGCACCTCTGCTAGAACCCGTCCATGGTTTCCATATGCTCTATAAAAGTACTGACTGTCCATACAATGTCAATAAAGAAAAAGAAACAATTTGCATGCCTAGGCCTTGCATGCCCTGGCCACCTGCCTGACCACATCTTTTTTCTTTCACCTTTTCTGCTTGTCACTTTTACCTCCTGGTGCCCTGGACCACAGCAAGCACCCTCTCTAGTGTATGTAACCTGAAACATAAATTTGTTAAATTATAAATAAATCTGAACCCTCATGTTTATCTTAGACAATGCTAAGGTTGCCATAGCTGAGACTGTAGATGGGACATTCATTCCTCACTGTTCTGAACACCATAAGTTCAAGATAACAGCTCGAGCAGATCTAACGACCCATGAGGACATGTCCCTACTTTTCAACGGCTGTATCCTCTCATAGTGGAATGCAGAGTAAAAGAACAAAATTCCACATCTCTTGTTTTACGGGTGCTCAACTCATTCATGAGGGCCAGTCTCATGACCTACGCACCACACCAAGGCTTCACCTTCTAATGCCATCCCACTGTGGGTCAGGAGGTCAGCCATGATTTATGCACATGACCTCAAGCATAAGGCTTAATCAGCCTATGATCTTTTCATCCAGAAAATAGATTGAAAAGCCTGTATCATCCTGCTGTTGCTAAATTATTGGCATCTCATGTGTGATGTGTCTCCCATTGTGTCAGAATTTGATAGTTAAATACAGTTGTTTGGTGGTTGTTTTCTCACTCATTGATACTAATGCTGCAAATTGTAGCCAGGAATGCAGTTGTGAATCCTGCAGGCGATCCTCCTTATGCCCTTCTAGAACCTTCATGGACAAGATTCAATATACTCAGTAGATAGCAGTCAGGCATGTCCTGTCCTGGTAGACCGTTGGCAAGACATCCCCCACTCCACCCACGAGCATGAGGCTCCATCAAGTCTTTCATGTAAGTACACTTTTTCTAAGAGAAAAAATAGCTCACCCGTGTGACAACGATTCCATCATCCGGGACACAAGGGTGGTATTCTGTGCAATGAAAGTAATTTACTAAATGGTCCTCCAGTGCTGTGGAAGAGTGAATTCATTTTGCACAGGTCACAAGTTTACATCCAGAGAGTGGTTTCCTCTCTGCCGGAGCAGACCCAAGTCTAATGGAAAATTGAAGTGCAGTACCAACAATGGTTCCCATTAGTCCTGGTCCTGAGGAGCCTGGCTGAGGGAGAGAGATGTGAGCAGCAGCTGTGGAGGACCCAGATGAGTCTCCATTGCCACTCTTAGGACTGTCCTCTCCTATGGAAGGGGCCAAAAGACTGGAGAATAAGAAGGTGAGGGGAACATGTACAAGTTGTCAAAAGAGAAGACGACAGCAGAGGCTCAGGCTGCAGACAGAAGCGCCTGTGTGGAAGTTCAGCAAGGCTAGCCCTGATTCCTGGGTCAGGAGAGTGCACCGAATAGAGATGTGTGAGTGCACAACTTTGTCCGTGTTGTTGAAATCACAATCCAGACACAGACAACTTAAGCATAGGATACTTGCGTTCTCTCTCTCTCTCTTCCCCTCTCTCCCTCTCTCCCCCCTCTCTGTCTCTCCCTCTCTTCTTCCTCCTCCTCCTCCTCCTCCTCCTTCTCCCTCTCTCTCTCTCTCTCTCTCATTTTTAAATAATCTCCTCTTCACATGTGTGTGCCCTTCCCGGGGTTGCTTTTCCCAGATACATCTCAGTGTTTCTCAGCAGATCTGCATTTAGAACCTGCCCTTTTGGAACATTCAGCAATCACTCCAAAATGTCACACAGGGCCTCCCTACATAAGGAGACATCACAGCACACCCCACCAGGGCATGTGAGGTTCAGCACCGCATTTCCAAGCTTACTTCTCAGGCTACCTAAGATCAGAAGACAATCCAACAAGAACAACACTATTCAGCGGTGTGAAATATCCATGGAGCGGATTTCAGACAAACTTTAAAGGTGAATGGAAGAGGGCA